CTATCTATCTATCTATCTATCTATCTATCTATCTATCTATCTATCTACCTACCTATCTGAACAGTGACTTATGCAACCCAGCAATTACTCTAATGTTAGCTCCATTATTCTTTGTTCTCTATGAAATATTAATGTTTTCAAAGGATTGTGATGATCAGAATCGTCCAGCGTCCTACCAGTTCCTGCAGCCCCATCCCGTGGAGTCTTGGCACTGATACAAAGTGCATAGAATCTGCTGCATAAATCATAAGCCATTTACAAAATGACTCCAAGCCGTGCCCCTTTTAATCTTTACCAAGCAAAGCCAGTGTACAACTCAGGGCCGATATGCGTGCGTGCGCGCGTGTGTGTGTGTGCGTGCGTGTGTTTGTGTATAGACTTGAGGAGCCTACACGCTGACAGCTGCGAAACACAAGCACAAATGCGTTGCCATGGCTCCCACAACCGCTGTGATTTCCGAGCCAATCTGCCATGTTTCTATGGTAACGATAATCTCACAGAGGGTGGGAACGAGACAGAGACTGAGTGAGAGGGAGAGAAAGAGAGAGAGAGAGAGGTGGGATTCAGGGGATAAAAGAGGGAGGGGAAAGGGGGCGGGTTAAAACGACACCGCAATGCACTCTTTCCACCTCTCCCATCACCCTAATCACCCCGGGATGACCGTGTTTACGGTGGCTCCAGCCTGCCCGGCAGCACTAAAGCTGCCCACCCTGTGACACTGACCGGGGCTCCTCTCATCTCTAGAGCGGCCGCTTATGTCCTGAGACAGCAGTGGGACGCGCGCGCCGTGCCACGCTGTGAGCCAACGGCACGATAAGATGGAGGCACACAAAACTCCACGGGCAGACGTCCTGTTGAGCCTGTCAGGTTTAAGCCAGAAGAGAGTGCAGACGGTAAATTAAAATTCATACAGCAGCCGCCCGCCGCTGTCTCCACCTGGAGAGCAAATGCTGCCCCACAGTCCGACACACACACACCGGTCCTTAAATCAATTTGTGAACAACTGTCTCTCCTCCACAAACCGCCTCGTGTATCTGAAGCCTTTTGGGCTGCTGTGCGTCTTTTTTTGTGCGAGGAAAACTCACAAGTAGCAGCAACAAACAGCGACACAGCCAGACAAACGGCTGTCAGCACCCCCCCCCCACCATGCCTGACACAGATAGGTTTCAGCGCATGTTCTGGTGTGAATAATGCAGCAGCGGTGTGAAATATTGATAAGTCAGTTTTAATAAATTAACCCGCACATCAATTAGTCATGAATTACACTTGGTGGCAATTACTGTAGTATTGGATTATTGGAGGAGGGATCTATATGAAGAATGATAACAACCCATATGGCGCTGTATGGTTGAGCTGGAGAAACACACTGAGGCTTTGATGCTGGCACACTCCAGATTTTCACCTTGAAAGAGGGATAAAGTGTGTGTGCATGTGTCTATAATAACTTGAATGAATTTAGACATGTGCGCTCAAATATGTATAAATGCCAAAAGCATAGATCAGTTGTGATTAGCTCTATTTTTGACAAATGATAGCCCTTCGATACCACTCATTTCAGTGAGGCTAACTGACAATTTAGAATTGGCTACCCTGGGGCCAATTCTAAATTGGCAATTCTAAATTGGCCACAGCTATTCAGTTGATTTAAAAAAAAAAATCCATTTGGCATTTGGGAAGTTAAAAGACTGAGAAAATAAAGTAAATGCAGTTAAGTAAAGAGAAAATATTAAAAACTATACAACGCCAGCAAAGGAGTGGTGAACGGACTGAAAAAAATTGGCACCAGAGAGAAAAAATTCAAAGCCAGTCACGAAAGAGTCACAAAGATGGTGAAAGGAGAAAAAGAGCAAGGCCTTCCTGATAAAGTTCTATTTCGAAATTAGGTATTTTTTTAACTAAGACACATGACAAAACTCAGTCTGACATAAATAAATAAATAAATAAATAAATAAATAAATAAATAAATACACACACATAAAAAAAAAACACTTAAGAGGAAGCACATCCCATGAAGCTGGCACACGAGCGCCCCTTAGCTCAGCAGGGTCAAAACGCTGCTTCAGAGTGTTCTGCCCCCACAAACACACACACACACACACACACACACTCACACACTGAAATACGAGCACGCGCACATACTCCACTGAAAGCGAGGCCACGGAGGTTCAGAAACGTCCACAGAGCTTAAAAGCACTTGACACCTTTCCAACTCCGAGCTCATCTGGAACCTGTCCACGCCTGGCAAGGTCAGAGCCGCTGTTGTCAAACTCATGATTCTCACACGGTTGTGTATTGCTCATCAGTGGTCTCCGGCACCACCTCCTTCAGACTGTATCTTTCTCTGTCTGTGCTTGGCTTCCTCTTTCCTTCCGTGCTATCGTCTGTTTCCAGGCTTACACTGGCAAAAAGCTGGAATGTCACAGTGCTGGGTACGGCGGACTTAATTTACTTAGTGGAGTGACATGTCCTTCTCTTATGGTGTTCAGTGAAAGTAGGGGCCAAACGAGGAAAGGAGAGAAGGATCAACGAGAGGCCTGACTCATGACGTCAAGTGGATGACCAGAAAACAATTAAACTTGTCTCAAGAGATGGGAAACGCTGATTTCTAACCTGTTCATAGAACATTTGCTGATGACACTTAGCATCCTAAACTTAGTCTCTTTTACCTAAAATAAATAAATACCATCTTCTTGACTTCCTCACTTCACCGCTGGCTTCTGCAATTGCAAGTATGGATCGAAGTGCAGGCAAAAGTATGATGTGGAACAAATCTAAAGCAAGAAATAGGCCCAGCTTCCCCAACAGTTCATTAAAGAGACGTCCTCCATAGAACGGGGGAGTGTTGGGAGGCAGAGAATCACATCATCCTCCAAAGCAGCCCTGCAACAGCTGGAGCTTTACCTGAAGGGCTTCTGCTGTCGCCCGGGGCTTTGTAACGAGATGCCAGGTCGACTCACTGATTCCAGAGAGTGGGATACATGGCAGCATTTAAAAATGTTGAATAAACTGCAACACCTTAAAAACATTTCACTGTCGTGTTTGCAAAGTCTTCTGAACATGTTGTGAAAAGGGGCCCCAGCTCATCCTTAGTTTGGTTTTGTGACACAAGGCTGTATTCAGGGAGACACAATTCTGAACAGAAATAATTTCAATTTAGGTTATGGAAAAATTGCCTTTTTAGAGTTTTTTTGTTTGTTTTTGTTTATTTACATTTGAAAAGACAGGCAAGAACAGCAGCTTAAACAGCTGGTTTACTCAATCAGCTCAGTCACCAAAGAATGTAGCGGAGGAGGATGTGACTGACATCAACCTCCAACGTCCACGGATAGCCAAATCACAACATTTTTCTCTTCCAAGTTTGGAACAAAAATCCATTTATTCCAAATAAATGGACGACTCTTGATGAAGATTCATGATTTAACAACACTCAGTGGCTAGAGTCCAAACAGAATTTATTCTACAATTGCTGTTCTGTTTGAGATCTCAAAAAATACCCAATGACAGACAGACAGACAGATAAAGAACAGAGAAAGAGTCTTCAGAAGACGTTACTCTCCACTCATCATCTACCTGTTCCTTTTTTGATTTACCGAGCAGTGCACTGACCAGAAAGCAGGGCATCCTTCGCACCAGCAACCGGCCGCTGATTCAGATTATTTTTAGTTTTTTTTCTTGCATATAGAGTCGGCCAATTGCTAATCTTTTGATTGAACACTTGAAGACAAAGGTTATCGCCGAACAAATTTAGTTAAGGCAGCACGGGGCGAAGGATCTCAGCGGTGCTCGCGGCTGATCTAATCAACAACACAGCTAAGTTGATTATGAAACTGCGGGTCTAGAGTGCAGACAATGGCCAGGGAGGAGCAGAACAGTGGAGATGAGAGGACGATCACCAGAGGGAGAGGGGAAGAGAGGAGGTGTGAGGTGATAAAAAAACAAGCAGCACTCGACAGCGGAGGATAAACAAAGCGGAGAGAGGGGAGAGCAGATGTTTTAAGGACGAACCAGGGCAAAACAAAGGAAAATAGTGTGGAGCGGGAGAGGATAACGAACGCGGTGGGACGAGGATGACGCTGGGCTGGGCAGGAGCCAGGACAGGACACCACAGAGGAGCTGAAACTAACGAGACAATGCACACAACCCAACGGTCAGACACCAACTAGCAGAGCAGGGAGACAGAAATGGAAAGTCTCGGGGATGGAAGAACCCACAGAGAGGGCTTGAATCAACGTCTGAAGAACGCTCTGGGACAAACAGCTACTTCTGTGAAAGCCTGGTGTGGAAAAAGGGGGGCATGTCTGGATAAAGCTAATAAGTTTAGGACAAAAGCAGAAAGCCAGACAGCAGGAAAAAAAAAAAAAAAAACCCCACATCAGACGATGGGGCTCAAAGTAGCTTCAACACAACCACAGCACACATGTGTCTGCCGCCGTACAGATGTTTTTTTTTTTCAAACCAGCACATCACAAAACCACGAGTGAGAAAAATAATTTTCTCACATGAGCAACCAAACCGAACACTAACACGCACTCACACACACACATAGAAACAGAGGCCCGTTCTTTGTGGTTTGTTATCTCTCTTCATAAAGGACGCCCGCATCCCGCACGCATCCAGCCGACATGCAGAGTGGCACGGGGCTGAAAATGCTCCCCAACACAATGCCGCGCACGGCTCCGGAGCACAGCGCCACGGGGGATGGTGTTCACCAGCTGAAACGCCACTGGGACCAATTAGGCGGCGCGCAGAGCAAAGCGCAGCTGAACGCTACGCTTCGCAACCAAGTTCAAAAGGCCTGCTGCTGAGACGGACAGCCGAGGGGGCGGGCCCGCTTCTCCGAGGGGGCATTTGAGGGGTGGGGCCTTGTGTGTGTAAGGCGAGGGGATGATCCCAGTGTGCAAGGGGGGGGGTGAAGGTACAAGTGTGTGTTTGCATGTTTCGGGTGTATTTACACCCAACTCTATCGAAGATAGACCACCTGAACTTGGCAAATGCTGGAGCTGCTGCTTGAAGCGTTTTTTTCACAGTCATAAATCAAGGCCATATTCAGTTGGCTACTAGAATACATTTGTAAGAAATCAAATAAAACATCTGGCAGAATTTGCGTCCCCGGGGTGTGTGCAGGAGTTTTTACAGGGGCAAGAAGAGAGCTTGTTTTTCTTTGTCCAAGTGAAGTGCACTCACACACCCAACAGTCAAAGACTTCACAGGAAACACAGTTTTTGTTCTAAAAAATACTACATATACCACACATGATTATGTTACCATCATGAGGTAACTTGGTTTTGTTGGACAAACCATTTCTGTCCTTTTAACGTTCAAAGTGATCCATGCGAGAACTTGCAGGGCAATTACAGACATTAATCTAATGTCAGGGTGATAAACCGGGGAATCTAACAGTTTCTGAAGAGAGTAAGTTGTACGTTTTCAAGAAAGGAGAGCAGCACATATGAAAATGATTAATTGCCTCTGAAAAAAAAACAGCCAACAATGCTCAGACAGTAAGAGTCTCTGGTTCTTTAAAAGTCAAAGACCAGCTGCTCTCTTTGACTTTTGCTTGGAAGGTTCTCCATTAACACCACATATTAAACCCAATTCTTTTGAATAATAACGATTTAATCCACTGAAATCATCAGTAAACCCCATTGCACAAACATATGTTGGCATTTTCATGCTCAGATCAACAGCTACTTTATAAATCACTTTAAAATGAGACCTATTAACACTCCTTTTTTACTGTACCATTTTAGAGTCCTGATGATAAAAAATATTTATTGGTCCTAGAAAATGCCCAATGAATGTTTTAATTGCTTTTCAGCTGGTTCTTTTTTCTCACTTATAGCATCTAACAGCTTCATGTCTCACAAGGTCAGACCGAAATATTCTCACGTGCTTCAAAGATACACCCTCATCGCATTCATTTAAACAACAATATACAACCACACATCACCAGATCAAGGAAACCTACATTAAAAGCTGTGGCGGTGCTCCTGATCAGATTTGCTCATCCTTGTTGTGAGGCTTGTTTTTTTTTTGTTACTTTTCAATTACTAGAAATAAAAAAATTAATTATAAATTCAAATTTGATGCCAGTTCTGCCTGTTTTACTTAAATGCTCACACATCCAGGGTCAGGTTACCAGGAATGACTCCATTGAGATTAGTTAATGCATCACTAAGTATATATTTGGACCAATTTCATTTGTTTATTGTGTGATCATTGTCATTCCTCAAGGACCCTGTTTTTCATGTTTTCGCATCTCGGCTTGTGTATTTTAATATTTTCTCTGGAGAGTGTTGATATTTCACTACTGCTGCACCTTATTACCCCAGTTTCTTCTCTTCGGTGACTTATTAAAGTTCATTCTTTGTTTTTCATCTGGCTTCCTCCTGTGTTCCAGCCTATGGGCACTCTTAACCAAATTAAACAGCAGAAAACCATAGTATGCGTTATTTGTCAAATGTTTATGTTTAATAATGAGTGCGTGTCACTTTAAAAGAAGGATGCCACTGACTTGTCAATAAAGTCCGATTTACTTTGAAGCTTACAATGTATCCATGATTGGGAATTCAAACATTGACTGTTGTCAGCCTGACAAAAGTGGGAAAGCAAGAAAAGCTGAGAAAGAAAACAAAGCTTATCTCTTTTCATTAACAAGCTGTCAAACGGTATCAGGAACCATCACTACCACTTTTAAGGTGTTGCTCAGGTCAGAGCCTCTCTGCAACCTGTCTTCACACAAAAACCCTCAAATCTGGATCAAATCCACATTTCCATCAACACTTACCTGAGCACTTCGTTGGGGTTGCCTGAGATGGGTGTCTTCTTCTCTGGAGCTCCGTGGCACTCGGACTTCAACAGGGTGTGGGGCCCGCGGTCCATCATCATGGTGGAGGTGGCCATCGTGATGATGGCCACGCCGTCGCGGACACGGGCCTCCAGGCCATAGTCCCACTCATCATAGGACACGGAGAGCAGCCCTGGAATGAGAAAGCCAGAGGGGGAAGAAGTTCAGATGGGATGTGGGAGGCAGGAAAACGCAGACAGAAAAGGGACGGCGGGTTAGGAAAAAACTGGACGGAAGAAGGGGAAAGTTTCAAGACCTTTGAGAAAACGTGACCCGGGAAGGGTCTGATACATTACAGTAATTGTTTCGAGAAAAGAGAGATAAAAAAAGAGGGACAGAACCACATGTAACAGAATGCATTAGCAGAGCTAGAAATATGATAAGCAGGAGATAGAGCCTGCAGGCACTGGTATTCTCCCTGACTAAGAGTCTATCACCTTGCTGTGTTTGTCCATCTGCCTGTAAATCACTGTCTGTCTCCACTGGCCTTTGTACGCTCTGAAGGCCTGTCCTTCTGTCTGCCTGAGTCCTGTTCCCTTTGACAATCTGTCAAGTCTTTATGAACATTTATTTGTAGGTCCTTCCGTCTCACTATCCTTGTGCCCTTCAGAAATTCCATTCAATAGCTGCCAAGATGTCTGTCCCCCACAATGCCTCTTGTCAGCAAGTATTTGGTTCATGTGTAGAGATGGAAATCTTTTCCAGGGATTAGATGAGTGCTTTGTTTTCACGCGGAGTAAGTCAGGATTCAACTGAGAATCACCTAATGATAAATTGGTTATGTTGATCATTAAATTTCCTGATTTATCTGTTTTCAAACATGTGTTAAATACATTCTCAGTGCAAATTAATTGAAGATAAATCAAACCCATGGGAAGTGTTGATTCATTAGGAAAATTACCCTAATATGCACCTCACAAAGTGCCGTCATTGGCAATAAAACCCACAACAGCATTCGATCAAAATATGATTAACTCATGACAAACAGTCAGCATTAATTGATCACATACTACATGTTGACTGGTGCAACAATGTTTATCTCTTTTTAATGACCAATCAGCTGACTGGTGTCAGGATTCCATCAGGTTGGGGGTAAACTATTATCTTCAGGCCTGCCTCACAAGGAGTATAATTGTTACTGCAAATAATTATTGTTACAGGCCAACATTTGGTCTGCTATAATAAAAAAAAAATGTATTGACCAACCAAAAAGTCTCTATTATATGCCGCAGACTACCAGGGTCCCTCTCCCTGTAAAGAGACTGAAAAAAAACTTCACCTTGCGGGGGAATTGGACAGAGGACAGAGGAGTTCCACATCCTGCATCAAATATTGTTTGATAGATGAGGAGTGATTAAGAAAGCCGATAATGTTTAAAAGATAAAATGTTTTTCATCAAATATTTTCATCATACCATAGACTGGTGAAGGCAATGTTTTGTCAAAGTCCAAACTACTCAGATTCATGCAATGTCAGTGAAATTTCTTTTTGGTAGAAGCGGTCCAGTGGTGTGGTGGTTAGCACCTTTGCCTCACAGCCAGAGGGTTCCTGGTTGGAGGACCAGGACCTTCCTTTGTGGAGTTTGCATGTTCTCCCTGTGTCCCAAAACATTAATGTTAAGGTAATTGGACACTCTAAATTGCCCCCAGGTGATTGTTTGTCTCTGTGTGGCCCTGTGATGACCTGTCCAGGGTGTACCGTGCTGTCAGCCGGGATCTGCTCCAGCTGCCCCCAATAAGTGGTAACAAAAAAATGGATGTGTGGATGTTTTTGGTAGGTGCTAACTGTGCTTCATTATCACCAGGGTTCATGCCATATTAGCTGAGTCGAATATTAAGGAAAACAAAGCTGGTTTCCTTAAAAAGGTGTATGAAAACAGCCCATTTCTTCTGCTACAAAGGCCTCTTTGACATCTGAAAAGAGGTAATCGGGGATTTGTTAGTTCATCCCTCATTACGGGTCTCTCGGTTTGGAGTCCTGGCACAAAATGCCGAGCCTTGGTGTTAATCGATCCGGCTACCCGCCTGATGGCTTTTCCTTTAGCCCATCTTGCTCTGCGTCTCTCAGCCATTCCGCATCGGCCTGACAGCGTATGACCACATGTCAGCCCGGCCACTACCGTGTCAGTGGGCACAAACAGACAGGCGGCCTGGCAACCTGCCCCTCCTTCCTCGCGGGGCTTTTGCGCTGACAGCTCTGTTCCTTCAGGACCGCCTCTAAAATCACACACTGTTGACACTTTCTCCACGCTCATTCCCACCGCTTGTTCCTTCTTACTCATTTGGCTTTTATTATTCCATGGGAACGATTCTTTTCGGGGGAAGAGGTGCGTTTGTGTGCTCTGAGGTGTACTCTTCTCAACATCCTGGGAGCAGCTGCTTGATATATATACATATTGATACCTCTCTCAGGACACGCTTAAATGTCACAACGCGGTCTTGTCAACGGGAAACGCTGCGTGTGAACAGCCCTGACACACATTTGTAAAGTCTTTTTCTTTATGGCTGTGCTGCTACTCCCACAGAGTACACAAACTAAATGATTGGAGAACATCACGGATGCTTTTTGGAAGCAGCTTATTGTTGTCAGTCATATCAAACCAGTTGTTTAGGAGAGCAAGACGCGTGCAGTACCGTGTGATCAGAAATAAAAAAGGACAGAGAAGATGTAAGGAGGAGAGAGCTGAGGAGGCAAAAAAAATGGACGGAGAGAGTTACAGAGCAGCAGAGAGGAACCCGGTAAGCAGCAGAGGTTCAGCAGCAGAGTTCTTCATGTGAACCCGGTTAGCAAATTAGCCTCGCGGCTAGCGTGTAGCTTCTGCCTAACCCTGAACGGCAGGACTCAGCCAGAGCCCACAAGGAACCAGCAGCCGTGTGCTCTGCCACACTGTCATTTCACTCCCTGTTAGTTCAGGAGTTGGTGCGCTTGACTGCCCCGACAAGCATCGTGTGGCTTCTCACATGTTCAGATTAAAAGGGGGATGTAAGACCAGGGTAAATACCGGAACTGGAACAATTTTGGTCATAGTGTCCCTTTAGAATTACAATCCAAATCCAAAACCTTCTACTTCCTCCTTCCTCCTGTACTTTGCGCAGAATGTGGTTGCTCTGAAATGTTTTAATGTACTTTTAAGTTTTTAAGCATCGGGATGGAGCATATGAAGGAGAGCCCAGGGTTCATCTCCAACAAAACGTGGAACTGAAATATGTCGGACTTCTGTGCATCTTTCCACCACAGATTCTTCTTCTCACAGGCCTAGAAATCCCCCAGCTGCCTCTGAACAAGTTGAGCTTGACACTTCAATTTCAAAGTTTCAAATGTATCCCTGAGTTTATGTCCATATTTCGATGCTTGACAAAGGCCTCCCACAGTAATCTCTTGTCCATTTGGTTATATCAGGTACTCAGGTCTTGATGAAACACAGACTGATGGATCAGAGATCACAGGTGTACAGCTTTGGCTTGCAACCTTACCCTCTGACATTCCTCCAGATTCCTGAATTATTGAATTACATAATGTACTATAGAGGGAGAGACACTCAACCTATATTTCAGGGTAATCATTTTTATACATTTCAATTGTTTTCTCCAAAGATTTATTGGCACGTAAAATATTGCCGTCCCATATTTGCTCCTCAAACATTACCAGATCCTAGTTTGGGGATGTGTATTGTATTGTAAAATAAAATACATTGTATAATATCATTTGACAAAACAAAATTACTATCTTGGATTCATATAGCCTGAAATTCAAATCAAAACAGATTTTCAGTCGATTTGACAGTATCTATGGACCTGTTTTGTTCTACTGCTTGGGGTTACATCTCCAGCATCATTAGACATCACTGATGTTCTCGGTGTTTGAATTCAGGGCCTTTAAATAACATGTATTTTGGCACATTAGGTATCTTATTTATCACGCATAAAAATTTTTGCCTACTATCCGTCATTATGTCCCATTCGATTCCTGACGTGATCATTCACTGTCAGCTGAGAGAGGTGTGTCCATCCACAGACGCACGGCTCCACTTTGTAATCAGCCAGGCAGGACACAAACTAGACATGATTATCTCCGTGGCACCGTAAATCAAGAGAGATCTTGTTGTGTGATTTAAATATCTGATACGTCGATGCACCAAACGCACACATACCCACACCCTCCATGTGAGGTGCGCACCGAGGCAAAGGCACACAGCCCACTTGATGAAATTCACGCGTTATTTTTTCAATGCAAATTGAAGTGAAGTGATTACACCTTTCACAGAAAAACTGCAGACTTTAAACACCAAATGCCTTGAAAAGTGTGCGTGCCGCCCCCCATACTCCGTACTCCCATTCAAAGCAAATCATCCATGGACGTCAGTGAGGGAGCGGAGGAAAAAAAGTTTGAGCGATGGCACTTGAAGGTGCAAACAATCTCAGGTTCCGCCGGGGAAACCATTCCCCAGAAACTGCTGAGGACAGGCAGCGGCGTAATATCTCGCCATCAGCGTAAATCAAAGAGCCAAACGGCCGCAAATGATCAGGGTCGTACGCCCAGCAGACGCTGCAATGCAGCTGACTCCACCAAAAGGAGGGATGTCGGCTGAATTCACAGTGGGTTGAATCGGTTCTGGCTGTGGAGGCATCAGTGCCTCCACTGAGTGCTGGCCTTTTCTAATAGTGCCCATCCAACTGAAGTTGTGCGAGTTGTGCTGTGTTTGGTAGTCTGACAGATGTGCTGAGAGATTGTGGGAGTCGGCTAAGTGGCTAATGCGCACCACAGAAGATGTTAATTTGCCTCCCGGTTGGACCTTCAAAGGTTAGAGTGACATCCAGTGGTGTTATGGGAGGAAACAGAGGTAGAAAGGCTGCTAAGTTATCATTACCAAAGGTCACTTTGTTTTTTTTGGTCTCGCCGGTAAAACCAAAATAACATTTGAAAAATACCATTTGTTAGGTAATGCAATCAAAGCCAGGACTGTGAAAAGTTTGCGCTGCCTCATAAAATAAATACGAGAAACCTCCAAACTGCAGCACGGCTCAAATTGTTATTCTTGCGCTACAATTGGTTTTAGATTCAAACCAAGCTGCAAACCAAGCCAAGATGTTTTCACATTGAGATCCAACCGTAGGTTCAGATTTCCTACCTGTGGGAAACTCTGCCGGCACCACGACAGTGTCTCCGGCCACCAGTGACGGGACAATCCAAGTGTAGCCATAGCCGGTGATCCCCACTGAGTGGGCCACCTCAAAGATGGTGTTGGCTTCCTCTTTTGTGCAGTAGAGAAGAATGACGGGGCTCTGGAGCTTCTTCAGCTGGTTCTGGATCTTTGAATCTCCATCATCCACCGACATGTCGAGCAGAAGAACTTCTTCCAACTCCCAGCCCACAAAGCTGTTCTCGATGGTGCTGCGGATCTGCATGAGAAGGGAGCATATTATCAAGAAACATTTCCCCCAAAAAAATACAAATTAGAAAAATTTAAGGTTAGATGTTTACTGAGCATGTCTATATTTTTTACAGTAGCCATATTTTTGCCTTGATAGTGGCTTTGTTCCCTATTGCTGTAATTCACAAAGAGAAGTCAACCATACCTATGAGTCTAAACTCTGACTTTTCACACCAAACAGATGTTTCCATTGTACATTCATAGTTAGCATGATCAAATCATGCTTTTTGGCCCACATATTCTGAATGTTCAAGCTTTAAGTATCAGACGCATTCCAGTCATGAAAACCTGACCCATACAATCTCCACTGAGCAGTTTGAGAACTTAGGATGAAAAACAAAATCTGTGAAGCAATTGTGTGGACTTTTAAATCTTGTAAGTTGTAGACCGCCAAAATGGTGAAAGCAGCTCTTTCTCATGTGGATTCGGCAGCATGTCAAATGTCAGACTCAACAACGCCATCAGCTCTGATGTGGAAACACCTACATGAGACACACATCCCAAATGGAGCACTTTGCAGGAAGGAACTATGAGTAAGAGTATAAGTCAGTATTTTCAGATGAGGAGACTTCTTGGAGAGTTTGTCCTTGATTAGAGTTCTGACATAGCCCTATAACGCACATCCTCCCTCTTTGTCAACTTTTAGATGACTATAGATTTTAAATAGTCCTGGTAACACCAAATCAATATGATAAACCTGATGAGGTCAAACCTGTCAAGAAGACAAGAAGTTAAACTTGTTGACTTTTGCTGAGGTGCACCTGAGAAAGCATTATCTTAAAAGGCTGAGTGTCAGAGACAGAAAGAAGATGCTGCTTTAAATTGTCTAAGAATTCAAAACCTGTGTTTTGTTTAAATTGTTGGTGTTTACCACACAACTACATGTGTGTTTTGGATAGTTTAGATGTATTTTGGCCTGTACTGTAGATCATAATGTGTATCTTGAGCTCTTAATGATGGCTTTTAAATACAGATTTCAAGAACATGTTATATGTGGTACATGCCGTTACCTTGGTGACAAAGTCCTGGTAACCCGGGTAGTACGTTGTGACAATGGAGAAGATGTACCAGTCATACTCCTCCATGATGTTCAGAATGACAGAAGCCTGCTGCTCAATGGAGGGACCAAACTGAAAGAACATGGAGTTGTCATCCTAGTAATGAAAGAAAAGACAGAAAAGGAACAAAGACAGTGTGTCAACGGTTATGTCACAATATTGGCCTGAACTTTAATTTAGTCGGCTTCACACACAAGAGAGATCGGCCTCTGCTTAAAGGACAGAGATGATTTTCTAACATTATTGGCGCGAACATTAATTTAGCTGCCTTTATTCTCACGCTTGCCGAGGAGAGAAAGGCAAGAGGACTCCTGTGGACTGGTAATGATACTGGCCATGATTTTCATTGGTTGCCTTTATGACTCTTTTAATGAGTTTGTGTCTGGAGCAAATTCTGAGGACTCCGAGCTGCTGTCCTTAATCTCATCAAGGCTGCTCGTCGCCTTGCCAAACTCCAACTGGCAAGGCAATTTCAGTGTCGCCTGAACCGTGCAGGACTTCTATAGAGACAGTGCACCCCCAAAAAGCCGCACCACAAAATTATAAAACGGGCAACAACCGACCGAGACAGTGGGACAGGCACCAAACGGCATAAGAGCCGGAGTGACGCTTCGATAAACATTTCTCCGACACTCATAACACAGCCCTCGTCGTGGCAGTGTAATTTTGAGCAGGACAGAAGAAGAAGAGGAGGTGAGAAATACTAGTCTAGACGCGGCCTTGCAGCTCCGCATCGTGAGCTTGTTATTGTACATGTGCGTGAGTCATTCAGTTAGTTGAGTCCAACTCATGTTTACGCAATGTACAGTAGCCTGTTTGTTTTGCTTGAATATTCATGCTTCCAAAATGGCTGATTAAATGAATGAGATCCAAAGTTTCAGCGCGCTTGGTGTGCGGTTATATGTGAATGAAATTAGTCGTTTTAGACAGTTTTGCTCGAGTAGAGGGGGGGGGGGGTAGCTGGCCTCTTTGAGGTTCCCTAAACATCGACTGAGATGACATATTCAGGACATTTAATGTGGAATGAGAGCACAGATTCTCATAAAGAGAGTGATATGCTGCACAGCCGTGGGATTTTCCTGTTCATTGCAGATGCTGTGTTCTAAATTTAGGAAATAATGATGCAAACGCTGTTGTTGCATTTTGTTCCTCTGCTAGCCCCTGCTTGCATTTGTTGGTCCGTTTACCACGTATTTTTTTCCCTTTCTCATTCTCATTCTTCATCCATCTCCTCTCGCACTCCCGTCCCATTAAAACCCCTGGAATCACTGCCGGGGCACAGTTATAATTGAATTTCCAGACTCCCGCTCTCACGCTTCCTTCTTTATCCTCTGCAGAGCACCCTTGCCACTGTGCGCCCCTACCACATAATTTCCTCTGGCTTCCTCTATCTCGCTCTTCTTAACATCAGTATTAATGTACTGTCCGACACACTCGTTCAAAGTGCCAGAGGTCTGCAGAATTTTCATTAGCCTTTGAGAAAAGCGCGCGCTGAACAAGGAACAAGGCAAACGCAAGAGCAAGGCAGAGCGGAATGAGAGGTAATGGTGGGAGTCGGGTGACTAAAATTAAGTGCCGCAAAACACCCCTCTTCATTTACAGCAACAACAATTAGGCTTTGGCCGCGTTGTCACCTCTGCTGGCACAAAGTGATCGATTAGTGAGCGTTAAAATCCCCAGAGGGCAGGGCGAGGGCCAGCGAGTCAGACAGCCCGCCGCAGGATGCTGGCCAGCACGGTTTTTGGAGAAATCTGCTGAGACGGACGCTAGTCCTCCCGGTGAATCCGTAGCTGGCGCCGGTGCCGGCTACTGTAACCGGACAACAATGGCCGGCGGAGACGGAGGGAAGAGCCATGGAAAGACAGGATGAGAGGCGGATAAAGCTACGGAGGATGGGAGCAGATAGGAGAAAAAGAGAGACAGAGGGAAAGGAAAGAGAAGGAGAGGAAGCTGGAGAAGACAGAGATGTACAGAAAAGAGCTAAGCTCCGAAGCCCCCAGGGGGACACTGGCAGAGGACAATGTGGCGACAATGGGCGAATGGAAGAGGCCAGGCCGCGCTGGCAGACGGCGGCGGTCCTGTGTGGAGCGAGCGAGCGGGAGGGAGGCAGCGAGCCAGGAGGAGCAGGGCCAGTGGAGGTGTGCGTCTGTGCGCCTGTCGGGCAGTCGGCCAGCCACACGAGCAGGGAGAAGGCTGAGCCCGAGCTGCTGTCAGAGCGGGGACGGCCTGTGACATAGACTGTGTGATTCAGTGTTTACAGAGCTCTTTTAAGGCACTCGTGTGTGTTGTTGGGGTCCTGTTTTGTCCAGTTTTGAGCAAAGTGGGGTTTGAAGTTGTTTTGTGTGCGCATGTTGCCGTGTGTGTGTGTGTGTGTGTGCGCGTGTTTTCTTTTTAGTGGCTGAAGGGGCCGCGGCCAGCCACGGATGCTTGCTGTGCCCTAGAGCCTCCAAATGAGGTTACTCACACACTCCTGGAGCAGTTATTTCTCTCGAAAGGGAGGGAGAGTCAATAACTCAGGTATTTCAATTACACACACAGGGGCACATCAGTGGCTGCAAAAGAAATAGACCCGCTTCCAATCTTTGCTCCGGAATATGCACCGCCCATGCACACCAAAGCACACACGTGCGCGTTTGAACAGCGGCTTTTCACGCGTGTAAACATGCGGGCACACGTTTTGGGTCTTTGTGCCGTTTACATGAAGTTGCTGTAAAGATAGCCAAGGATGCGCATCAAATGGAGCACATGGAGCTATTTTTTTGCTGGAAAAAGACATTGATTACGTTGTCATCAGTTTGTATTTAATTGGGTTAGGGTTAGGGTTTTACATATCATGGTTAAGTTATCAAACGTCTATTTTCAGGATTCTTTTTTGTGCCATTCCAGTTCACCGCTAAACGACTTGGCCTCCGTTCTCTTTAAAAAACCTGGGCGTAGCTCATGTAGTCTGTAGCTTTAGCATGTTGCACCTGTTTTCAGGGGAGGAAGAGGGGGTTTATCCTTAACCTTTGGACAGATGGGGGTTTAGTTTCCCCATTTTTTTGCTGAGCGAGCTGCCTGCTTCCTGCCACCTCGTGTTTACAGTGCCACGACTACAACAAGCAGGCAGAGATTGGATTGGACTTCACATTTCAGACCTATCATTTAGGAATAGATCTGTTTTATTCAAGCAGAGTACGTGCGTGAATTGCATCCTAAGAACGGAAGATGTCCCGGGCTTTCACAACTCTTTTAATTCTCTCATTGTGCCACCGAACCCACGAGGCTGGTGAGTGAGAGCGTGTATGCAAATGAAAGAGACAAAGGCCGAGATGGAGAGGTATAAAACGGAGAGAGCCGATATTGTCTGTTGCTGGGAGGTTTTTGGCGATGCATATTTCTATCCTGCCTATAAAGGATCCTTTGAACTCGAGCGGAGGGGGTGTTGCTATTGACTGCTGCTGCACTGCCTGATGGAGAGCGATGCCAGCGAGCGAGAAAGCGAGAGAAAAAGAGACCGAGACAGAGGGGAAAAGAGGATGGAGGGATGATAAAAGAGAGCGCTGGAGTGGGAGGTGAGGAGAAAAAGGGAACAGCTGGCCTTCACTTGAATGTAGTGAATCTGAAAGACAGTGGGAAGAAGATATGAACTCGCGACAGCCACAGGCATTTGCACGCACGCCGAACAGCACGCGCACACACACACACACACACACACACACACACGCACACAAACACAAAAGCTTGAAAGCGTGTTCATTTCTGATGAGGCCTCTGAGCCAAAGTCACCACTACCACATGCTCCAAAATTACATATTGATAACTAGTGCTCCTCTTCTCTCCCATTTCCCCTCACATGCTCTCTCCTTCACTTTACACACACACACACGTATACACACATTTATTATCTCTACCTAAATTAAGTGCCTGCTTACCCCCCCTCCCTCCCCCCCCCCCCCCCTCCTCCGTCTTCTCCCACTTCACATCATCACATCTCTGATCAAGGAAGCCTACTTATCTTTAATCAAACACATACAAGCTTAATTAGCCCGAACATTTGTCAGACCGTCATCTAATTAACGGTGACCTTATTTGAGAACTTTTGGAATCTTAATTAAAGGGGAAAAAAGGGGCACGTCTTCATTAAGACATTTGACTAAATCTGCCCTTATATGATTCAGATTTTTTGAGGTGACTTCCGTGTCACAGCCACCTCTTACTTACAGGGATCTAAAACATGGAGACGTCATTTCGGGCAGACGGCGTCTGAAAGGAAGTTGATATCGTTTAGCGCTCGGGATCGCAAATGCTCTGAGTGTTTCTCACTGGCCCATTTCTGCTCTAAGTTTAGCAGAGGACCCACTGAGGGGCCTTTGCGACGTGATGCCGCTGCTCTGGTTTGTCTCCTGGTACTTGTAGAATGGCAAAAGTCTCTTCAATGAGCTTTAGTATGAATGCTTCTCACACGGCACGGCTAAGAGGCACGAAACAGGATGGCTGGAGGGAAGAGTCGGCTCCCAAAATGTGCACATGCCGTCAGGATCTTAGTAGGGTTTCTGAGATTGGGCAGCTATTAGAGGTTGAGTGGATTCAGTTGAAATTGGGCAGATTACGGATGATTTCCGGATATTCCAGATAAGTAGAGAGATGAACTACTTGATCACAAGTCACTGTGTTCTCTGTGCATCTGGTGTGCACAGAACAGAATTTCGGAGATAAAAAAAACAGGACGCAGGTGCAAGTCACAAATCATCAAAAAGCATGAAGTTATTATGGGAGAGGTTTGCATGGTTTCCCTATCTCCCAACATTCTTATTCAAACAAGTGATTTGTTTTTTGCGACACTATGTTGTATTCACTTTGTCACACACCACCACTCGGTCAAGATTCCTCGCCCCTTCCAGGGCACAAAATAGCAGCGTATTTGTGATTATGAGGCTGCACCATAAGTAAAAGGCGATTCAGAAAACATCCCCATATTGCTGGATTATCCACAAAGATCATGTGAGGAGGTCAGAGGGAAGAAAGACGACAGGCATCACATTCCCACAATAGGAGATTTTAACATGCCAAAAAACACTTTTACTTGTGTTTTCTTCTTTTCATCTCATTTTTTTATACTTAGTTTTCATCTTGGTTGCTGTTCTTCAATTATTGCACCACTTCATCGTGCATTAGTAGCACTTGGTTAAATTGAATCCCTCAAAGAACTGGATTGAATTTAGGTATTAACTGTACCTGTTTGGTGTTTGATAAACATCTTTGGTTCAATGTACAATAATATATATTTTTTATTTATTTTATTTTCTTATTTTATAAAGAAAAAAATGTTCTCCAGTTTCCATAGAGACAAGTCTTTTGACTTTCCTTTACCAGATCAGGAAGCCCTGCCAACCCACCAGTGATGCTTTTTGGGCATCACTGGGGGGAATAAGTGTCCCTTGAGTTAGTAAGGGACAAAAAAGAGTTGTTGGTTTAGATTTAATCAGTCCACAAATACTTTTCCACTTTCTTTTTTTAAACAAATATGCCTTAGATTTATCTCTAGATTTATCTATCTGTACAACATGCAGAGAGAAGGGCGACCATTGGGGGTCTTTCGTTCTTTTCTTTTTTTTTAAAGGTAGTGAAAGCACCAATATATTTTAACATACATCTTTTAACATACAAAGCAGAAGTTTAAGAAGCTAAGTGTACAATGTAGCAACAAAAAAAAAAAAACACATCTCAAAATCCAGCTGATTAAGTAAATGTCAAGAGCGTGATGAGGCTTTCA